TGAGGGTCTGTCTCCAGGGCCCCATCTTTCCTCCGGCTGCTGCTGGGGTTACCAGGAACCCGGCGGGAACACGAAGGAGCCCCTGAAGAGCCTGGCACGCTGCCGGGAGCTGAATCCAGGTGGCCTGAGGTTGAGCCCTCCTCCACATCAGGTAACTTCTCCCACTCACAGCCGAGGTTGCGCCGTCGGCGTCCCTGGAGGTCTTGGCACCAGTGCCTCAATTTCTGCCTTCTGTGGCTTTGATTCTTTGGTGCACATGGCCCGGATGGGTTTTTGGGAAATGCCTTGGTTTGGTATGGGAGTGAAAAGCAATGGCTAGAGAACAGGTCTTCTGCCAGCTAGGATTTCTACGGAAAGTTAAAAAATTCAGGCTGTGATGCAGGCGGATTTGTGTTTGTGGAAGGATTAGGACAGTGGTTCTCAAACGTCAGCGAAAAGTTACGTGGGGGAGGTTTTAAAACGCAGAGACCCGAAGCCGAGCCCATGACGCACATTCAGTTGTCGGGGAGGGGGGCCCTGGGGGGAGGGGTCCCGGATTCAACGTTTCTGGCATGGCTGCCGTGCTGATGGGGCTGGTCTGCACACCATCCTGTGGGGAGCGCTGTGCGTGGATGTTAATTTTGGTTCTTGAAGGTGTGTGTAGAGAATGGCTCTCAACTTTGGTAGCGGGGGATTTTGAAAAAAAAAATCCCAGAACTATGCACATCCCAGACCAGCTGCAGCAGGATCTCTGGCCGCAGGGCCCGGGCATCAGTATGTTTTAAAGCTTCTCTGACGGTTTGGTGGGGGCCTAGGGGGGGAACCCCAGACCAAGGGAGATTCCTGGGTGATGGCAGCCGGAGTTCTCTGTGCTCACGGTGCACCAGAATCACCTCGGGAGCTTGTGAAATGTGCTGATGCTCGGCCCCACCAGGGAAACAGGGTCTGTTGGTCTGGAGTGGGGCTGCGGCACTGATGGCATTTTTAAAAAGCTGCTCTGATGATTCTGATGGAAAACCAGGGTTGGAGACCACAAATATTTAAAAAAGTGTCCTTTACTGCCCTGAAACGAAATTCCTAGTGTAACTTACTCATCTGCACTATGAAGGAGAAGTAAAAGGAAATAAAAAGTAGCATTTGGCAGATTTATATATGTACTTGACACAATGAAGTGGCCAAGTGTTTGTCCTGCCAGAATGTCACTGGCCCAGCCCCAAATCCAGACCACGCCTGGAGTGTGCTGTGGGTCACTCAGGTTCCACCAGCTGCGCAGGCACCTGGCCTTGGTTTCCCAACCCTGTGCCAAACCCTTGGTCAATTCTGGACATAACAAAGCACCCGGACTCACCCCGCAGCTGGATTCTACCTAAGTGAGCGCACTAAACCAGGCGATGACACCTTATGCTCCTGCGTCTAATGAGGCAGAGTTAGGGTCCAGGGGGCGAATTACAGTCGGTTGTTCACACACGTGCATTCCAGGCTGAGCTGTGGTCATTTCTAATCTCTAGCCTCCGCCTCCCCACCCCAAGGCCAGGCATTCTCTCCAATCTCCTTGCACAACCTCGAACGCCCCCTCCATTTCGCAGCTCCCCCCATCCTTCTTAAATGAAGGGATGAAGAGGAGCTCGTGGACATGCGCTCAGCCGCCGGTTCTGCTTTCTGCGCGGGGGCAGCACCGCGTGGAACCCACCGACGGGGAATCTGTGGTCCTGCCGGGGAGAATGCCTCCCACCCCCACAATGCCCCCTGCGGGCAAGGGGGTGGCGGGAGGAGGCCTCGGGCTGCCGGCCGAGCCCAGCCCTCGCTGCAGGCTTAGGTTTGTCCCCCGCCGGAACGTGCACAGGGCGCCTTAGAGAAAGAGGCGAAGGAGCCTCCTTGACTCCAGCGCCCCCGCGCCCCCTCCCCCAGGAAGCCCGGGACTCATCCCGCGATCTCTAGTGCCCTCTAGTGGCCGACATGCGTCATGTCCGGTACCCAGAGATTGATTTTTATTGTATATAAACCTACCCGAGTGGGCCCTGAGCAGGGACATCACACACACACACACACACACACACACACACACACACACACACACACACTGTGTGGTCCCTCTTCTGGGCGGCACCGCGGGTGCTCAGAGCCCTAGCGCGTAGGAGGGTGGTTGCCAGGGGCTGAGGGCGGGAGAGACGGGGAGCTATTCTGCACTGGGTGTCAGTTCGGGAAGGAAGCGTTCTGGAGGTGGATGGGGGTGATCGCTGCAGAACGATGTGAGTGTCCTGGGGCCCCTGACCTGGACACTTCACAGTGGTTAAGAAGGTGAATTTTATATTATGTATATTTAACACACACCCTGCTACACAAGGGAGATTTCAGCCTGTGGGGGTTTCCAGAGTGAAAAGTGCATGCGACCTCACGTTTCCTCCGCAGTTCCAGCCCTGCTGCACCCCTAGAGGGCATTTCCACGCTAATGCTGCCCATTTTGGGGGTGGGGTGAGGTGGGGTGGGGTGGTAATTAGGCTTATTTATTTATTTTTTGTTTGTTTGTTTTTGGGAAGGAGGTAATTAGGTTTTTATTTACTTATTTATTGTTAATGGAGGCACTGGGGATTGAACCCGGGACTCTGGGCATGCTCAGCATGCGCTCCACCCCTGAGCTGTACCACCCTCCTCAGGTCTATCCATTTCAAAATTATATATGTGTATTATATGTACTTGTTTCTCTATGTGCACACAGAAATGTAGATTTATAGAATTACCTACTATATATATATCTATGAGATGCTTTAAGATGTATGTATAAAAATAGGTATTTCATTTGTGTTTTTAACTCTATTTTATATTTATGTATTTTTTAAAGTTTTTATATACAGATATATAAGTGTATGTGTATATATGTACACACACACGTTTTAGATATAAAAACTTTAAACACATCTTAAAATACAGAAGGGATCTGGCCATGTCATTGCCCTGTAGCAGGTGGCGGTGTGGGTGTCACCTGACTTGCTCGGCTTCCCGCTCTGCGGATGCACATTGTGGTGGTTGTCATTTACAGGAACGCCTCGTAGAAGTAGCTTTGTGCGCATGTGTGAGGTTTTGTGTGGGATGGTTACCCCTATGCTTCCAGCTTCTCACTCAAATCAGAAATTCCAGTCGGCAGAGGGGCCCAGTTTGCCCTGGGCTGGGAGCCGGCCCCTGGGGAGACTCCCCTTTCCTGCAGTTCTGTGTGTGTCTGTGAGTAACCGTGTGGGAGCCAAGTCCTCACCTGGAGCTACAGATAAATGAGGGTGAAGCCGCAAATATGGAATCAGCAACTCAGGAGGGTGGAGGGTGTTTTGGCTTAATTGCTACTAAAAACAATGTCTTGTTCCAATGTGTCCATTCATCAAGATGCCCAGTTTCAAAAGTAAATGCCCCTGTGCCCCAGTGGCCATGCGAGGGCCTGGCGAGACTTGAGTGGCACTAAGAACACAGCGGGAGGCGTGGCGCCCCTGGCCAGCTGGTTCCGCTCTGGGACTGCGGGCTCCTTGGGGTGGGCCCCGTCGTTGCTGCTCGGGAGGGGAGGCTGGGGTTCCAGACGGGGATTTCATGATTAACTGGGAGTGGGCTTGGGGATCTGGTGACGACTAGGGCGGCTGGGCCCCCATATCATCCCTTGGTGCCTCCCTAGGTACTCAATTTTGTCAGAGCTCCTGAGTTTTCAGGAGAAAGCTGGAAATCCAGATTTTTAAAATCTGGAATACTAGGATTTTAAAATACAGGCAATTCATTAAAAACAAAACATAACCTAAAGCACTGTGCAGGTCAAACTGAGCAAGAGTCATCTGGGCACGAGTCTGACGTCACCTGGGATGTTGGTGAGAGGCTGCCGACAGGCCCGGGGAATCCACCTGCCCGTCACCTGCCCGTTCAGTCTGCCGTGGTTGCTTCATACGATTGACATCACCTGCAGGTGTGTCTGCTTGAAGGACTGATATTGGAGGGGGTGAGAGTGTGTCTGTGCTGGGAGCATAGCTGAGCTGTAGGAGGCGAACCCCTACCTCGAGTGGGGCACCGCTGGGGCTTGTGTACACTGAATTAACCCACTTTTACAGCTGGCACCACATGAACCCGGCCACTAGCTACTGAGGATGGCCTGGTGCCAATAATGAGGGACATGTGACCTCTCCACGGAGAGTGGAGGTTTCCTCGCACTTTCAAGTGTAGCTGGGGTCCCCACACTCCGTGTGTTTTGTTTCATCTTGTGCTGCTTGTGCATGAAAGCCTTCTGTGAGGTTATGTCCGTGAAAACAAACGCCTTTTTTCTTTTCCTAATAAGAGTGGGGTAATGAAAGATAAGGGTGAGGTTACCCCGTGGCTCCGGTGGCTGTCAACAGCCTTTCGAGATTTTCTTTTTCTGTTGAAATCGTTAATGAATTGGAGTTTTCTCCGGACCTTGTAGAAGGTAGCTTTTCAGATCTGGGCTCAGAAAATCAGAGACGCTTGTTCCATGCGGAATGTCGAAGGGCTTCGTTTGGTCTCGTGGCTGCAGACGCCGCCGGGTCCGGACCAATCTTGCTAATTATGGCAGGTGGCTCTTTGGCCCGGGGAAGAAAGCAAGGCTTCTCTGTGCCCGCCTCGGGGCCTTCAGAAGTGATGGGAAGCCAGTCTGAGGGCCGCTTGGCTTCTAATGGTCCTCGAATGGGCTTTTGTGCGGACGTGGAACGTGATCTGAGGCATCGGGGACACCAGACAGGATGCTTTTTATGCAGCTGGGGATGTGGGCAGAGAGCAGAGCGGGGTCAAGACGGAAGCAGGGCTGCGGCCTCGAGCATCGGAAAGCAGCTTTGGAGTTGGGACAGTGAGCACCGCGCGGGAGTTGTTCTCAGACTTTGCATTTTCAGAAGATAACCATCTGGGTGTTTGCTTCTGGTGGACCCGGGGCGGACCTAGGTGTTTCATACATGAGAGGCCTCGCTCACTTGGCCTTTGCAGCGAACTGGGGAGGTGGGAGTGATTCTGGTCCCCGAGTTACAGCGGCCCGGCTGGGACGGGGGCCCATGGCTGCAGACCCCAAGCTTGTGCTCCCAGAGGCTCAGGAGACGACGGGTCAGCAGCGGAGCAAGGTCAGAGCGAGTGGCTTCGATGTGGCCTGACGTCTTCTGCTTTCCTGTCCCTCTAAGGCGGGCAGTGGGAGGCGTCAGGCCGGCGAGCACTTGCTGCGAAGCTCAGACGGCCTTAGGCTGCTCAGAGCCCTGCTGCTTTTTTTTTCTTTAATTTTTTCTTAGGTTTTCCTTTTTGAGATAAATTTTATATTTTATATTTTTATCTCTTAGGGGATAATTAGGTTTTATTTATTTAGAATTTTTTCTTTTTAGCAGAGGGACTGGGAATTGAACCCACGACCTCGTGCAAGCTAAGCACACGTCCTACCACTGAGCTGTGTCGCCCCCTCAGTAACCTGTTTCTGCTCGCCTGACAGATTTGCCCTAAACCCTGGTGGTTGGTGCACATTTACGGCCAGCATGAGAAAAAAATCGTGCATGAGAGAAAAATCATGCGTGAGAAGAAAGCCGTGCACTACTGGTGCCAAGTGACGAGCCACTCTGGACCTGCTCCGTGACTAATGATGCCGGGCGGGGATTTTCCTTCCTTTCCTGTTTCCTCTTTTTCCTGTAAACTCTCCAGCCAGATGCCTTGACCAGCCCCAGCCCCTCACACCTCCTTGGGAAGTTTGTGGCCTCTGCTTGCTTTTCCCTTTGAACAGTCTTCCCTGTTACCTTTTGCATCAATGTGAAAGCTGGGAGAATCGGATGGAGCCCACCTGCACACGCAGCGCCGCGATGCTGCTGTGAGCACTTCCGCTTTCTCACGCGCTGCCGGGTGCCTGCCTCCCCCGCCCGCCAGTCCTTTTTTCCCCTTGAAATGCACTCACAGTGCATCACAGACATTCTCCACTGCCTCCCCAGACACTTCAGCGTGCGTATCCTTGAGATTTCAAAAATATTTATTTTTGGTTTCTTTTCTGTAAAGTAAAAATGTACTTATGGTGAAATGCAGACTTCCTCTGTGTACCTTTCGTAAAGTTTTCTTTCCATTTGCCTTTGTCCACATTCAAATATCCTCTCGTACTAAGTGAAATTGGTCAGACAGAGAAAGACAGATCATATGACATCACTTACATGTGGAACCTAAAAAAAGTGGTACAAATGAACTTGTTTACAAAACAGAAGGAGACTCACAGACATAGAAAACAAACTTACAGTTACTGGGAGAAAGGGGATGGGAGGGACAAGTAAGGAGTTCGGGATTAACATATACACAGTACTTTATATAAATAGACAAACAACAAGTCCCACTGCCCAGCACAGGGAACTGTAACACCTTGTAATAGTCTATAATGAAAAAGAATATGAAAAGGAATATATGTATACAAGTAAATGCATAACTGAGTCACTCTGCTGTGCACCCGGAGCTGACGCAGCGCTGTAAGTCAACTGAACTTCAATAAAACAATCAGACCGCCATGCCTTCAACCCCGCAAGATCTCCTTCCGCTACTGCCCCATATCTCTCACCCTCATCTTCACCCAGGCTCCGAATGCCCCCCCCACCTGCTTGCCCCCTTCTGGCTCCTTCCCCACCCCTCCTGCTGTCTTCACGGACGCTGCCAACAACCTCCGATCCCCAAACCCAAAGGGTGTTTCCAGCGGTGACGTCCTCACACCCTCCGTGGCCGTGGACACTGGCCTCTCCTCCCCTCGGCACACTGTCCTCTTGACCCTCAGGGGCTCGACTGCCGTGGTGACCCCCCGCCCTCTGCTGCCCGTTCTTTCTCTGCTGTGAGGTCACGTTCACCACCTTCTCCGCAATTAAGCACAAGATCTGCCTGGGGCTCCAGGCTGAGCCCCACTGTCCTCCCGCCTCTTCACCTCCCGAGATGCCCTCACCCACTCCCCTGGCTCCCGTGTCCACCTGCACAGGTGCGGCTCTCAGATCCAGGCTCCGGCTGGTGCCTTTCCTCCAGCGCTGCACCCGGTGCTCAGGTCAGCATCTCCTCTTGGTGGCGTGGAAGCCCCCGCGGTCTTCACGTCCAAACCAAGCTCACAGTCTGTCCTCCTCACACGCACGGGGCCTCCTCCGGGGTCCCCAGCACACTGGGATGTTACCCAATGGCATTACCTGTTAGAGCCACTCCATCCCCAGCTCTGTGATTTGCCTTCAGCAGCAACCATCTCTCGCCTTCTGCTTCTCGCCACTGCCGAGGTCAGGGCTCCCGCCGGTGCCCTCCCGCCGCCCATCTCCACCAGGCAGCCACGCGCCTGGGCCTGGAGCTCCCCGGCCTGAGACCCCGGTGCTTTTCCACAGCTTTCTGTCATCACAGGGTGGCAAGGACCCCTGCCCGCCTGTCCCGCCTGCCTCCCACCCCTCCACCCTCACTGGGCACCTTTAATGCCCCAGCACGCCTGCCCCTTCCCACCCACCGCTGGCCCCTCCCTGTGCCCGGCTCCCCTGTCACCCCCTCTCTGCCCGCCCAGCACCCTCTCCTCCACGCACACACCTTGCCCCCGGACACTCTGTGTCTGTGAGGACCACTTGCCTCCTTTCAGATACTTAGACAGTCACACCTCTGCGTGTCCGTGGGATTAACGTCCACCTCCTCCCATTTCCTTTCTTATTTATTTATTTATTTATTATTTATTTATTTTTGCTTTTGTTTTGTCTTCAGGGCCCAGTGCAGTGTCTGGCACATACTAGATGCACAGCAGTGTCTGTGGACCGAATACGCGCACGCTCATGCTTTCGGTTACTCCTCGGCTTCCAGGGTGGAAGGCACTTAGTGTGACCCCAGGCATCGAAGTTGGAGAAGTAGCATGACGGCTGCCAGTTCAGACTAAAGAGAACGTTCTGATAAATCTGGGAACCTAGTTCCTCGGGTAGGAAGCAAAGGCTCACTCATGTCCCCTCAATTTTGGTTTTGTTTTGAATTTGGACTTGGTGGCCGTGCACCCCGTGGCTCACGGCTGGCAGACGGCCGCCTCCACCCGGGCGCCGCTGGCGAGTCCGGCCCTCCTCCTAGTGGTGGGACCTTCGCGGGGAGGCGGATTAGTGCGCTTCACACGGCCGCCTTCATCGCAGAAGTTTCGAGAAACGCTTTGCTGTTATTACTGTTCCTGGTGTGGTGTCTGCAACTGTCTGCACACGCGGAGTCTCTTTATTAAAGCAAATAAAACCATAATTAGGTGCAGCCCAATTCAAACAGTGGCAGCAGCCTGGAGCAGGAAGCCATAATTCAAGAACGAGGGGGTTCTCGGCAAGTGGCACGGCGCCTGCCCGGTAACTGGCTGTGTGCGGGGTGCTGTGAGCCGCCCCGGAGAGCTCTGACCTGCGTCCCTGAAGCCTGGCAGGGAGGGCGGACAGGGGAGGGAGGAGGCAGACCACCAGGGTCACGCCGGCAGCTGCCTGAGGCCAAGCCCTTGAAGAAACCCGGGGGACGAGGCCGAAGCGGAAAGAAGTGTCCCCGCGCGCACGGCCGGGGGACGCGCAGTCCCGAAGGCTTTGGGAATCACACGGAAGCTGGGAGTTCAGAGAAAATCCAAAGGAGGCTGTTCCCTGCGCTCAAACTGTGGTTTCCGGGAGACGAGAAGGATGAAGCCAGAGATCAGATCAGCAATTCGAGGGCAAGCAGACAAAGACCACGGGTGGAGCCTCGACCGCGGAGGCTTCGAAGGGCTGCGCTCCCGACGGCCGGCGGCTGCGCTGTGAGGTCGGCACGTCGCCGAGTGGATGGCGGCCGCTTTAAGTGAAATTAATGCCCGGAGCGCGTAGAGCGTCCTTCATTATTCTCCGTGATGCGGAGACGCGTTGGAGACCCTTCCCGGCCTCTCAGTGACACTCTTCACGCAAAATTTATCTCTTTTATGGGTTTGAAGCTCTTTCAGATACATATCAAAGACCTTCCATGCCTCCACCACGCGTAATGCATTCTGCAGCCGCTGGCAATTAATCATCTTCCTTCCCGGCCGTCCGCGGGAGCAAGCACGGCGCTGCCCGGGGCGGAAGGGGCGCCTGGCGCTCGCGTTCGCAC